GCTTCTCTAGGCTCACCCTGCTTTATCCGTGTTTTGGAAATTGTTTATGAGACTCTGGCTACAGAGGATTCATTGCTTCTTTTATCTTCTTCCCATTTTTTAAAATTTTTTTATGACATCTCTTTTTTAACATTTATTTACTTTTGAGAGAGACAGAGCATGAGCAGGGGAGGGGCAGAGAGAGAGGAGACAAAATCCGAAGCAGGCTCCAGGCTCTGAGCTGTCAGGACAGAGCCTCACACGGGCCCAAACCCACGAACCATGAGATCATGACCTGAGCCAAAGTCGGACGCTTAACCAACTGAGCTACCCAGGTGCCCCGTTTTTGTTTTTGTTTTTATTTTTTTTTTTTAATTTTTTTTTCAACGTTTATTTATTTTTGGGACAGAGAGAGACAGAGCATGAACGGGGGAGGGGCAGAGAGAGAGGGAGACACAGAATCGGAAACACGCTCCAAGCTCTGAGCCATCAGCCCAGAGCCCGACGCGGGGCTCGAACTCACGGACCGCGAGATAGATCGTGACCTGGCTGAAGTCGGACGCTTAACCGACTGCGCCACCCAGGCGCCCCTGTTTTTCTTTTTAATCAGTGCTTCAGAAAGATTTAATATCTTTCCATACATACCCTACCAGTCACTGTCCACTCTCCCCCAAATATAGGATCATATGAGACACACAGCACTTTGCCTTTGCTTATGACTGTCATGAATTTCTGTTTAAAGTTAATTCCAGGAGAAATGTGTCTGTGCAGATAACTGTGGATATATTCACTTAATGAAAAATGCAAACATATCACACATTGTGTTTTCCTTTGCTCTGGATGCCAAACCTTTGAACATAGTATCTCCTGTGTACTTTTCATGGACTCACGTTCAAATTTATATTTTAAATGTTGATTTCCCCAGAGTATTTTTTAAGTTTATTTATTTATTTTGAGAGAGAGGGTGAGAGAGAACGCAGGGGAGAGGCAGAGAGAGAATCCCAAGCAGGGTATGAACTGTCAGATGCAGGGTTCAAACTCATGGACTGTGAGATCATGACGTGAGCCGAAATCAAGAGTCAGATGCTTAAGGGACTCAGCCACCCAGGCACCCCTTTCCAGGGTATTTATAATGTATAAACTACCTCTATAATTTTCCAGAAATAGAGGTGGCTCTCTTCTAATATTTTAATAAACTATAATATTTTCATCTGAAAGTATATGTTTAATGTAGCCAAATATATTTAAACTGCAGATGTCTTTAAAGGAAAGTACATTTGGCTTACCTGAGTACAGATTGCCTAAAAATTGAATGAGGTAATTATTTCAGTGTGGTTTATTACAGTGCTCATTGGACTTTAGATCTGGTTTTAGCTGTATAGTTGATTCATTGTAGCATCCAATGGAGGTTGTTTAACTTCCTTTTACTTAAATTTTCTAAATTTTAAATTGTGAATAAAATTTGTTTCTATTTCACTTATATAAAGACAAGATGACAAGTGTGAAATGGACACAGCACAAAGTATCACGTAGATTTGTAGCAGTGTGTGACTATGGTCAGCAAGAAAAATCAAAAACGATGACCACAAAGGCTAATAAATTCAGACCTTATGGCATAGCATATAAAAGATATGTAACAAATTATTTATGGAAAATAAAAATTTGACTTAGGTAAAATGAGTTATCTGAAGTGCTTTAAAATACATTAAATGTTGGGGCGCCTGGGTGGCGCAGTCGGTTAAGCGTCCGACTTCAGCCAGGTCACGATCTCGCGGTCCGTGAGTTCGAGCCCCGCGTCGGGCTCTGGGCTGATGGCTCGGAGCCTGGAGCCTGTTTCCGATTCTGTGTCTCCCTCTCTCTCTGCCCCTCCCCCGTTCATGCTGACAGAGAGTGTCTCAAAAATAAATAAAACGTTAAAAAAAATTTAAAAAAATACATTAAATGTGTAAAATCACACAGCAGATGGTACATATATATACACAGTGGGATATTACTCTGCCTTAAAGAATGAGATGTCCATTTGTCACGGATGGAGCTAGAGAGTATTATGCTAAGTGAAATAAGTCAGAGAAAGACAAATCCCAAATGAGTTTACTTATATGTGGAATCTAAAAAAACAAATGAACAAACAAAGCAGAAACAGACCCATAAATACAAAGAAAAAACTGATGGTTGCCAAAGGAAAGAGGGAGAGACATGGGCAAAATGGGTGAGGGGGAGTAGGAGATACAGGCTTCCAGGTATGGAATGAGTAAGCCACAGGGATGAAAGGTAGAGCACAAGGAATGTGGTCAATGATATTGCTTAAATTTTTTTTTAATGTTTATTTTTGGGACAGAGAGCATGAACAGGGGAGGGTCAGAGAGAGAGGGAGACACAGAATCTGAAGCAGGCTCCAGGCTCTGAGATGTCAGCACAGAGCCCGACGTGGGGCTCCAACTCACGGACTGGGAGATCATGACCTGAGCCGAAGTCGGACGCTCAACCGACTGAGCCACCCAGGCGCCCCTGTGGTCAATGATATTGTAACAGCATCATCTGGTGACAGATGGCAGTAGCTATACTTAGAGCAAGCACAGCAAACACAGAGTCATCCAATCACTATGGCGTATACCGGAACCAACGTAACGTTGCGTGTCAAATATACTTCAATACAAAAAATAATAGTAAGGTAGAGAAAAAACCTCAGCAGCTTATTTTTTTCTCGCTGCTTTTACTCTTTCTCATAGTACTTCATCATTAAGTGTCTTGAGTGACATTTGGTGTTTCTGAATGATACAAGAAGTGAAGATTGTTTTCATATATCTGAGTACCAACTCTTAAAGCCTAAGTGGAAGCAAAGTCTTGAGATAAATATTAAGCAAATCCTAAAATAAACGTGATCGGGTTCCTTTTATGTAATTTCTTTTACTTCAACTAGCAGAAATGCAAAGCTAATAGAAATTAGTAAACATTGGGACACCTGGGTGGCTCAGTCAGTTGCATGTCCGACTTCAGCTCAGGTCATGATCTCATGGTTCATGAGTTAAAGCCCCACATCAACCTCTGACCGCTCAGAGCCTGGAGGCTGCTTCAGATTCTGTGTCTCCCTAGCTCTCTGCCCCTCCACCACTCACTCTCTGTCTCTTTCTCTCTCTCAAAAATAAACATTAAAAAAAAAGAAATTAATAAACATTTTAAAAATTGATAGAACTGCTTTTGAAAATTTTATCTTGTCTGATCAATATACCACCCACTAAAGCATAGAGTGGACAATTAACTGACTTTAAAAAGTAAAACTGGGTAATTTGAGTTTGTAAAAGAAGCATCAATTTTTTTAGACAGGAATAGTTTCTTTCAAATATATTTCACAGCAGCTAAATTTATTTTATGCTATTTTTGTTTAACTCCTCACTTGTATATTACTTTGCTCCCAAAAAGGACATAGTCTATGGAAAGGGGCACACTTTATAATTACATATTGTCATATAAATAATGCAAGTCGATCATTTGCTGACTTACACTATTCTTTGGTTATTACATATTGATATATTAATATAAGATTTATATATTCTAGAAAATTACATTATTACTCATGTCTTTGATTTGTGAATGTATTTATAGAAAAATAATAGGTAGCATAAACTTGATATATTTTTTCAGTGTTTCCAAGAATGATTATTGCATACATTCTATAGTAATTTATTTTTAGCTTAAATATTTATTTATACTCATAAGAAAAATAAATTACCAAGTATTTTATTTGTATAAAATGTCTTGCTTATACAAGTGTCATTAACTATAAATTGAAGTGAAATCTCTACCAATAAAAACAATGTATTGATGAGGAAAACAGAAATAAAATGTGTCGAAATTTGGCTGATGCTGTCCTGTCATCCACCCATGCTCCCCAACTGAGAGCGACTCTCCTTTCCTAGTACAGAATGAGATCTGGAAGAAGTTTTTAAAAAATTACATCTTTTAGTGTTTTTGTGATTTATTATTTACCTCAATCAGTTGATCTAATGCTTCATCATTTATGGGCGATTGCCTATCATATCTAGAATTGCACCCTTCCTTGTCATTAGTTTTGCTTCTTCAATAATAATCAAGAAATGATTCCATTATATTGTATACTTTTCAAGAAATCTTGATGCTGCCTTTTAATAGAACTTTAAAAATTACCTTTTTTCCTTTCACTCCTTGAATCTATTTAACCATATTAATGTATTTCATGTTCTCATTATTTTCTTTTCACCTGCCTTTGTTAAATTAAAAAAAAAAAGACACGATTATTTTCCCTTGAAATTAAGCATTGACTGATAAAACAGGGGAGCTTCTTAATATTGTAAAATTAATTTTCTAATACTAAGAAACCTTCCCAGCACAGCACTTTAAGCATATGCCTTGTTTATAATAAACATCACAGATTATTTGCATAATGAATTAAAATAACAGAGATTGAAATCTACATTCCGGTTTTAGTTGAACCTCAGATTCACAGGAACAGGTGTCTTTTAAGAGAAAAATGAAATAATGGGAAACATACTTCTGAGAGTATTTGTTTATTTCTATTTTAATTATTTGCAATTCCCTGCTTTTTTCCTTTGGCATTATTTTTGTTTTTGCTGCTCTGGGGAAGGTGGAAAAGAAACATCATTTTTACTAAGCTACTCTGACTGCTATTTTAGAAGGCTGAATGTTACTTAACCTTTTAGAACTGTGATAGCTAGGGGCGCCTGGTTGGCTCAGTCAGTTAAGCATCCAACTCGATTTCCGCTCAGGTCATGATCTCACAGTTTCTGAGATCAAGCCCTATGTTGGGCTCTGGGCTGACAGCATGGAGGTGGTTGGGATTCCCTGTCTCCCTCTCTCTCTCTGCTCCTCCCCCTCTCTTTCTCAAATAAATATGAAAAAAAAATCTTTTTTTAATTTTGACAGCTGTAGGGAAATAATGGTTTCAAAGGTGCAAAACTTTTGCTTGTATAGAAATGGCGGACAATCACAAATCCCTTTCCTTTCTTCTCTTTGTTTATTCACAGGTAGCTTAACCCCTTGTCTTTACAAGTTTCCTGACCACACCTTGAGTCATGGCTTTCCTCCCATGCACCAGCCTCTTGTGGCAGAAGACCACACCGTCACTGATTTCAAGCAGGAACTCAGGCGGAAAAGTAAACTGATTGAAGAGCCGATAGACATGGATTCTCCGGAAATCCGAGAACTTGAGAAGTTTGCCAATGAATTTAAAGTGAGAAGAATTAAGTTAGGTATGCACTTTTTAAGAGTAACAGGCATACACCTTAGTCTGCAAATCCTTACTATATTACTGTTCAGTCTCTTAATACTCTACTCAGAAGTCTAAGACAGTTCTCATTCTACATCTCTGCTGTGGATATGTTACTCCAATTATGGAAATCCTACAAAAACCTTTATCTCCTTGTTAATTCTTAATATCCTAAATACATAGGTTTTTACGTTAATGCTATTTTTTCCCACTTACCTACCTCAAAATTTGTCTTGAAGTACTTGTTTTTCTATTTTATTTGAACTTAGGAATAGATAAGTCATTCATATGATTCGAAGGCATAAGGGGCGTAAGTGAAATATATCCTTTCTGTTTGTCTTTCCTGTTTATCAGGTTTCTTTGCATCCTTCCAGAGATACCTTATGTACATATAAGCAACTATACAGACCTTTCAATATAGCTTTTTTCAAAATATTTTTTATGTTTATTTATTTAGAAGAGGGCTGGACAAAGAGGGAGACAGAGAATCCCGAGCAGGCTCCATGATCAGCAGAGCCTGACATGGAACTTGAACCTATAAACCATGAGATCATGATCTAAACCAAAATCAAGAGTCAGATGCTCAACCAACTGAACCACTCAGGTGCCCCCAGATATTTTTTATTTAACTGTTTATTTTAGAGAGCTTTCCTAATAGTTTTTTTTAATGGGTCTATCAAATTCCGTCACATGAATTTATTATTTAATCAGTCCCTATTGATGGTAAATTCAGGTTGTCTCCAATCTTACATTGTTAAACAGTCCTCCTACAGGGGCATCTGGGTGGCTCATTTGGTTGAGCATCCGACTCTTGATTTTGACTCCGGTCACAATCTCACGGTGCATGAGTTTGAGCCCCACTTTGGGCTCCATGCTGACAGTGCAGAGCCCACTTGGGATTCTCTCTCTCTCCCTCTCTCTCTCTCTCTGCCCCTCCCCTGCTTCCACACTATGTCTCTCTCTCAAAATAAACTCATTTTTAAAAAAATCCTATGATGATTCACATCATAAATGCCATTTTGTACCTACATAAATTTATATGTAGGACAAATGTTAAAAACACAATTTCTTAATTAAAGTGCGTGTATTTGTAATTTTGATAGATGTTGTCAAATTGGTCTGTATAGAGGTTGTACCAAATTTTACCACCACGAGTGTCTCTTGGCAAACTGCTCAGAATATAATCTTTATGAAGGCAGGAATTTTTTATTTTTATTTTTCCTTAAGCATATCCTTGGCACTTAGAACAGTGACCGACAGCACACAGAATAAAATTGTTGAAGAAAAATGTGGTTTAATCTTTTGGGTCTTTGCAAATCAGGTAAATCAGATAGGTCAAAGTGGTACCTCATGGTACTTTCATTTTAAATTTGAGTGAAGATTGAAAAGCGGTACTTCATGTGTTTTATAGTCATTTGGAATTCTTTGTGAACTGTAGATAGCCTTTGCACGCTTTCTATTCAATAGTGTTTTTTAACATAAAATAACTATAAAAATTAACCTTGATTTAAATTCATGAAGTAGTGTATCTTTTAAATGGATTGAAAATGATAGTTCCACCCTCCGCACCTGTGGAATGAACCACAGGTAATTTTGTAATATTTATTGATGGGCATTGTATGTAACCATTTTATGCACACAAATATATAGCTATAGGCCCTGAATTAATATGCAATGACTATATATGATAAACACAGCAATAGGCATCTTTACAACAACCATTTTCAATGAGCTATTTATATTGCTGTTAATATTTCAAATTCAATGCTGATGGTTGATATCAACTTGTACTCTAAAAATGTTTTGGGACAATCGATGAGGATCTTTGGCCTGAAGCATTACCAAATGATATAATAAATGTCCTCGAAGATACACGTAAAATACTGGGTGATCACGGTCTTGTAATAAACATGTTTTTAGGGAAAGTAAACATAATTCTTAGTTTTACTTGGTACCCTTTAGCAATATAGTTGAAAATTTTATAGTTGAGATAAAAATATTTGTGGTATATCATACATTTTATGCATCATATTTAATACACTGTATTTTTTAGCATATATCATCAGACATTTAATAAAGACAGCAAAAATGTTTTAGTGTCTTATAAAATGTTTGACACCTCTATCCAATGTCACTAAGTACTGTGAATGGCAGACATTCCTGTCTGAATTGCTTTGCCTTCTAGAAAAAATTAACTAAGAGTATTTTTTGAAGTACTTGACAATTCTACATGGAACTTACTAAACAGTTCTAAATTGCCAATGCATATGCTTAAAAGAAATACTTCATAGTTAAAGACCAAAAGAAAGACCAAAGGGAATCTTTCTTGAACAGCTGGAGCTAATGGGTCTTTATTGCCCTCTCACAGGATACACCCAAACCAATGTTGGGGAAGCCCTGGCAGCTGTGCATGGCTCAGAATTCAGTCAAACGACTATCTGCCGATTTGAAAACCTGCAGCTCAGCTTTAAAAATGCATGCAAACTAAAAGCAATATTATCAAAATGGCTGGAGGAAGCAGAGCAAGTCGGAGGTACTGAAGTTAGATCTCTGAGGGATGTGTGATGTTTTAACCTAGAAACAATGGTAGGGAAAGACAGATACCATATGTTTTCACTCTTATGTGGATCCTGAGAAACTTAACAGAAGACCATGGGGGAGGGGAAGGCAAAAAAAAAAAGGTTAGAGAGGGAGGGAGCCAAAGCATAAGAGACTCTTAAAAAGGAGAATGAGCTGAGGGTTGATGGGGGGTGGGAGGGAGGGGAGGTGGGTGGGGGGGGTGGGCATTGAGGAGGGCACCTATTGGGATGAGCACTGGGTGTTGTATGGAAGCCAATTTGACAATAAATTTCATATTACAAAAAATGTTTCATAATACTAAAAAAAGGAAGGATAATGAAAGCATAGGAATAAGTTTACTGAGAAGGGTAAACCGAGTGAGAAGATAAGCTGTAGAACAGGTTTCTAGATAACGTGGCACAGGCACGAGGTGGTGACATGACTTTTTTTTTTTTTAAACACATCCAGATTTTTTGCCTCTGTGCTATATCATAGTGATAGTACAGGAATTTTTATAACCTAATATTACCGTAGGCAGAGAATTTGTACACACCAGTCTTCCAAATAAGTACGTAAGCAATTGCTAATGTAATAAAATTACCTACTCATACTACCATCAAAGCTGGATAAAGAGCAAAGTTTGAGAGCATTTCAATAAAATGTTCTAAGGAAACTATGGTAGGGTCATCATTTATAGACGTTTGTCTTTGCAGAGTTAGTATTTCTGCCTTAACATTTTTGTGTTGGGTCTTGTACTATAAAATAACACAGAATGCAAAACTGTAAAACAAAAATGTATAGACTTTATTTTGCATTGTTTTATAAAGAAAACTTGAAACTCAAATCTGACAGTTTTTTAAAACCTACTTTGTTTTTGCAATTGTTTCTCTTTTCCCCATTACAGCTTTATACAATGAAAAAGTGGGAGCAAATGAAAGGAAAAGGAAGCGAAGAACAACTATAAGGTATTCTTTTGAGACATTAAAAGGTATAGAGGAAATGGAATATATACATATATATAGTATATCTATGTATATGTTCATATAGATATAGATATATATATATAGTGTGTGTGTGTATATATATATATGGAAGAGTATTTGAGGATAATATAGGTGCAACATAACACAAATGCATGGTGAATAGAGTCCATTGAAAAAACAAGATTGGTGGAAAAGCATAATTTAATAACCTAGAGCTAGTAATTTTTTAACATTTGATGGAAAAGTATGTTATTTGATTCAAGAACACTCACTCCACAGGTTTTTGGCTAAAACAAGAATTAATTACTTATACAAAGTGTTTATTTCTGCTGTCCTTTCAGATATGTCTTGCTCTGGCAATATGGTATCTATGTTATTAAAAATAGCAAAAGTAGCAATCAGTATTTCAGTCTCTTAAAGTCCAACATGATTCCTTGCATTTCAAGCTAGAAAGACTGTTGGCTCATCTTTTGGTAATTTGTGTGAAAATTACAGAGGAAATGCTAAAATATACATTTTGTTTTGGTCGATGAGTTATTCACTAAACATCTCACCTATTATAAATAACTTAAATGATTTCTGAGGGACATTTAGAAATGCCCACAGAAGTGTTCATTTCCTTTTCAGGAAGTCAGTGCCCTCTAGTGGCACAAAGTTGGATAAACATAGAAACTCTAAATTCCCTTATTTCTTCCTGTGACTCTGCTTACGGTACCCTGTGTAACACAAGCATCTAAATGTTCTACAGGCTACACACTTATCTTTGTTGAAGCTTTGGAAATGTTTTCAGAGTCTTTAAATATTTCCATGTTGATATTTATGAAATGCAACATTATTGAATTTTGATCTGCCAAAACATCATTAAAACACCTTAATCTCACCCTTCTCTATACCCCTCCCTACTCAGTATCGCTGCTAAAGATGCTCTGGAGAGACACTTTGGAGAACAGAATAAACCTTCCTCTCAAGAGATCATGCGAATGGCTGAAGAACTGAATCTTGAGAAAGAAGTAGTAAGAGTTTGGTTTTGCAATAGAAGGCAGAGAGAAAAAAGGGTGAAAACAAGTCTGAATCAGAGTTTATTTACTATTTCTAAGGAGCACCTTGAATGCAGATAAAATTTACTATTGTGTAACATCCAATTTTTCTGTTTTTCTTTCCTTTCTCTTCCCCAACAAAAATAGAAATTAGTTATTTGGTTGGCTTCAAATATTTTATATCAACAACTTTTGCAGACACTTTTCTACTTTAAAAAATTAATACAATTTAAATATTGGTGACTTATTTTCTTTAAAATATTCTCAGAAGCCAAACTGTACATCTTTAAGCCAAAGATACCAATAGGAATAAAACAATAATTCTTTCAAAGTCTTTCTCACTCCCTCTTTATCTACACACGCACACAAGGAGTGTGCACATGGGTCTTTCAAGATTCCTTTTCCCAAGGCTGTTTATTAGCTTTTTAATATTTCAGTCATATTGCTAAATAAAGAATATCACCATAGAAAATACAATTAGAAAATTGTGACCAATGTCCTGTTTACCATCAGCACTAATAGTTGGTTTGAACTAAATTGTTTGCACTTAAGAGCTGGAGGTGCGTTAGAATTTTATTAGTGCATTTAGGAATAAATCTTAATTAGAAGCGACACTTTTGATCTTTTTATTCTTCCCAAAGATTTAGCTTTTTTGATGTTTATTTATAGAAAATAGGCTTTATGGATTCTGAACCCAAACTATTTTGTAAGCTGCAACAGTGCAGGAATGATGTCTGGCTTGTTTACTGTTGTTTGTCCAGTGCCTAGGAAAGTGCTTGTAGTGGGCACGCGAGCTTCGTTAAATGAAGAAATGTGCTGTTGTGATATTACCAATGAAGGAGTGTGCTGTTAACAATTGCTACAAACTTGAAGGGTGCGTAATTTAATAACACTATTTAAGTCTCACAACCCAGAAAATCATCAGGATCCTATCAAAAAGACTATCACTTTGTTTTAATTGGCTAGAATATGATTTGTTATTGATGAAAAAGTTTGACAATCAAGTATTTTAATTTAGCGATTTATATCTAAGGAACATATTTAATTTATAAGAATGCACTTCTTTGAAACTTGCAAATAGAAGCAAATGGTAACATAATAGCAATCTAAGTGATTTTTTTTTTGCATTGAAAATATAAATCTGCTGGCAATGTTTATTTTATATAACAAAAATGGAAACAATTAGACCAAATTTTATTAATGATTTAGAATGCTTAATAAATTACACTGTCCAGTCTGCTTTTAGTGATACTAATAAAGATCACACATTATTTCATAATCTCTATAGATCATATATGTTTATGCACACATAATCACCATTAATTGGATTGCTAGAAACTTTGATATATTAACAAAAAGAGATTGTTTTCAGTGGCTTAATCATCTATGCTTAAGTACACATCTAGCACCCAGGAGGTGTTGAACAAAATATACATACAAGGACTTTTATTTTTCAAGAGTAAATTCCATATTATTGAGCCATGTAGATATTTAAGTTCTTCTCTGTATAATTCACCTGCTTACCACATACGTTAATTGGGAAGGGATTCTTGAGTTTGTAAAAGGCAGGAATAGGATATATATACATACATATATACTAGATACATACACAAAAATGCATATATGCATGTCTGAAAGTTGCAAATAGAAAAAAAAATAATGCAATATAAATCTAGAATAGTGACTTTTTTGCACTTTAAATATAAATCTGAAAATGTTTCATCTGACTTTATACAACAAAAATAAGCATGTATAAATGCTTATATCATCCTCACATATATATGATATCAGACATTCATCCATAAAGTCATTCAGGTTTAGATACAGCTAGCATTGGGAAATAATTTTTCTCCCTAAAAGGAGTTATTTTGTTTTTTTAAAAAAAATTTTTTTTCAACGTTTATTTATTTTTGGGACAGAGAGAGACAGAGCATGAATGGGGGAGGGGCACAGAGAGAGGGAGACACAGAATCGGAAACAGGCTCCAGCCTCTGAGCCATCAGCCCAGAGCCTGACGCGGGGCTCGAACTCACGGACCGCGAGATGGTGACCTGGTTGAAGTCGGACGCTTAACCGACTGCGCCACCCAGGCGCCCCAAAGGAGTTATTTTGAATCAATACTTAATATCAAAATAACAAATCTATAGTTATTCACATTAGTTATAAATGCATTAGTATTTAGAATTAATTTATTTGTATTAAAAAGTTTTTGAGACTATTCTAACTACATTGAGATATTTTAGGGGCACCTGGGTGGCTCAGTCGGTTAAGCATCTGACTTTGGCTCAGGTCATGATCTCGCACTCCGTGAGTTCGAGCCCCGCGTTGGGCTCTGTGCTGACAGCTCAGAGCCTGGAGCCTGTTTCGGATTCTGTGTCTCCCTCTCTCTCTGACCCTCCCCTGTTCATGCTCTGTCTCTCCCTGTCTCAAAAATAAACGTTAAAAAAAATATATATATAAAGAGATATTTTAATATAGATTGATCTTTTTATAAAAATAGAAAATGGTTAATGCTATTTAGAATCCTAAACTGCAATTAAATAAATGACAAATGTAATTTGCTATGCAGTTATCTATGTGTTCATACTTTCAGGAATAAATGGCAAAACCTGACTTTAGCAATAGTCTTTCCATCTAAAGTTCTTGTGAACTCTTCAGTGGTAAATCTTTAGGAATTCAGAATAGTCCATTAAAATGGAAAGATCTGTCACTTATACCAATTGGTACATTCAATTTTATCTTGCACAGATGGTTGACATTCATCCATTGACCCTTCCATCTCTAATGGTGGAAAAATTGATCTAGTAAAAAATATTTTCAGTGTTTTGGGGATGGGAGCAATGTGTCTTTGTGCACCCGCTCTCAACTTCTGGGGGAGATGGGGGTGGGGGAAGGGGAGTGTGTGTTGTGTGTTGTCCCAACAGTTAGAGTCCCTTGTATCAGCCGTCACATTCATCAGGCTTCCTCTAAGGTAAATTCAATCCAGTTGACTCAAAGGAACTAAGTTTAGAAGAATGGTGTCAAGTCCCTTTATGGGAGACTCAATTTCTACAGAGAGGAAATTGGAAAGTTGATCTGTTTTTCTACAGCTGCAAAAAACCTATTCCTGCAGAATAATGGTAATCAAAGGAGAAAGTTATTATCAGTCTCTCTTCAGATCTGGACACACACCTAGTTTTAACGTAAGAGTATCTAAAATAGGAGTGCACAAAAAAAATAAGAGTGCACATATTTAAATTAGGTCCACAGGGATCAGGCTAGAAGTGTGGCCACTGGGTAGTAAGGAATGTACTTGTGGCTGAGGGGAAAATGCACTTTTCTCCTAAAGGCAATCAGATGCAAGTAATAGAATATACATCACTGTGCAGGTTGAATAAAGCCCAAGGCTGCCAGATTCCCTGTGTCTACAGAGACACAATCTTGAACCCCTTTCCACTGGCCCCTGCCTTAGCCAGGTACTCCTCTCCAAGCATGGAATATAATCTATGCAACACAGTCACCTGACAAATGATTTTATTTTCTAACCACATTCTACTTCTCTGGTATTCTGAGATCTCTTCCACCCGTGACTTTTACATCCCAACAGAATGTGACATTGGACTGCATCCTTCTTGGTAAAACAGGTATTGCTATACTTTTCCATTCTCTATTGGCAACCTCTTGTCTGAATACAGTTGTTAAAGTAATCCTTTCACCGAAAAAAGAGAAATTAGGGAAACAAACAAAAAATACAGTTGACCATTGAACAACATGGGTTTACCCTGTGCAGGGTCCACATATTTATATGTGGATTTTTTTCAATAAATACAGTACAGTACCATAAATGTATTTTCTCTTATCATTTTCTTAACATTTTATTGTCCCTAAACTTACTCTATAGGATACAATATATAATACAGTTAACATACAAAATGTGTGTTGATATGTTATTGGTAAGGCTACTGGCTATTAGTAAAGTTTTGGGGGGGGGGGGCAAAAGATATATGCAGACTTGTGACTGCATAGGTCACTGCCCCAATACCCACATTGTTGAAAGATCAACTCTATTTTCATTAAACTCAATGTATAAGAATCCTTGTTTCCGAATCTTAAGTGTGGAGAGTAAGTTTCATTTTTAGTCAAGGATAGTGTAACATAATTTTACAACGATTGTGAAAATTGCTACAAGAGCATTTTATAAATATAACCAAATCAGAATGGCTCTTCTACTTTGAGTCCCAAAGCCTTCCGTAGTATCCAGCTTTGCCTGAAAATAAAGGAAATCACTAAGACTTATCTGCTTAAAAATAGTATTTAAAAATGTTTATCCCCTACAAGTTCTAGAAAAGGAATCATCAGATGAATTACACGTGAAACCAATTCTTAGACTTATTCCATTCACAAACATCAATCCTGTACCAACTGCTAATTCTTAGGAAAGACATTTGTTAAAATTTAAGAAGCAGAGTTACCTATTTTCCTTCCAGAAAAATAATAAAAATCATTCTTTTGAAAAATTACCAGATATGCATAAAAATGTTAACTTTAGCAGAAGCCAAAAACAGAGTAAAAGGGGAAAAAAGCATAATAGCAATAAATCTTTATTGGAATCTTTTTAACAAAATAATTTTTAAAAACAAAAGCCCCCCCGCATGTAAACAAGAAAGTAAATAAAGTTAGTTGGCATTATTATGTACATCCAAGAATCAAAACAAATTCTGGGTTAACATTCCATAATCCAGTAAAATGTTTTGACCCATCAATGTTCAGGGAAACTAATACTGTAAACAATGCAACCTTATCTATGAACATCATACAATGCTTCATGAATTATAAATTAAATAGTTTAACTTTTCATTCGTCCCACCAATCCATATGCCATATGGATACTAGCCCTAAAATGGATTTACCTTGTCAACATTAGACCAAAATGTCCATCATCAGATGTTGATCTGGTCACACCTAACTGATCTCTCCTCCAATGTTTATGGTGGGATGTGCTAGAACCCATATATTACAACAGAACTTTTTCAAACTAACCTAATCCTAAATTCTCTAATCTGCCACTTTACTTTTTCCTCACTTTCTATACATACATTAAATACCATAGCAACTTCACCTTAAAAAATACTGCTAATACATTAATACACATTTAGGAAATAATTTCTGACAAAGTTGTAGTTTATTTACCAAGGAAAAAATGCTAATTTTTATTTTAAAATTTAGGTTAAGTATTGTCATAGTAGTCTTAAACTAAAGATGGCTTCCATTTAGAGTGTTCAATATACACAATAAAGATCAAAATTAAACATATTAAATAGTATCTCACATGGGGAAAATTTTCTCAGTTCTTGGAAGAAAGACCAAAATGTAGTTTTATTACTATAAAATGTTATTAATTCAGTGTCTGTTTTTGCTAATTATTTTCATTTTTATAAGCTTTTACAAAAGAGAACCGGATAATTTTTCTAAGAGGCCTCAATATTAATTTAAAATGTAATTTTTTCTGTCAGTTAAAATAATTTAAAGATGTGCACAATATATTTGTTCTATTTAAGGCAGGTGCCAAGCACATTTTGAAAGGTAATAAACTTACCAACTAGAATGTTCTCCCAAAGGAAAAAAAAAAGGAAAAAGGAAAAACCCATGACAGTTTTTAAGACAAATGTTTATATAGCACTCTTCTTTTGGCTCATTTAAAAATAATTTGGCAGCTGAACCGCCTATGGTCCTAACACATATCACTCACAAAGGACAAGCAACAGATACAGAATTAATGATATATTTTTAATATTTTTTACAAGTCTCTTTAGTTGGTGCCTAGTGGCATTTAACAAGATTTTTGTATTCCGTGTAAAAACACATAGAACGTAAACACTACGTAATGAATATAATTTCTCTATGCCATGCAAAAAAGAAGTCAACTTTTTACACATCCTCGCTCCTAAATAGTTCTCATTAAAATCCAACTGTTCCCATTTTTGCATCCTTGTCATTCTTTGGTAAAAGATTCAAAATAGCCATAGGTTAGGAAACAACTGTTTGCTCGTGGTCTTCATTTTTGCAAATAAATGTGTTTTGTAAAAGGAAATCTGCACTGTGCCTGATTTATACTAAATAATTGTAAGTAAGCAAAATATCATAGTTTTTCTGACTAATCTACTCCTAAAGCTTTGAGTTGCCGTTCAATCTCTTCATCGGAGATCGTAGCCTTTGAAGTAGAGGCAGATGGTAAGCTTCGAGCAGCTGATGGAGCTTTGGCCATCTATATTAAAGGTAAAGGGGAAAAAATGTGCATTACCAAATGTGGGGCAAGGACACAAAGGATGTGCTTCAAAGATGTTTACTTTACATTCAAACAAATACAAAATCACGCATCTGACAGGAAAGGTAGCTTACAGTGACAAAAGTGGTAGAAACGATTTCTAACTGAGAGAAGAAGACATTCATACCTTTCCAGAGATTTCAATTCCGATTTCATCAAGAACTTGATTCACAATATCTTGGCTTTCTTCTTCATCATCAGAGCCATCAAAGATGTCATCAAGTGTGTCATTGACTTGGGGGGAACGGGAGAAATAAAGCAATTACTTTCAAACCGATTTCAAGTTAGATTTACAGTTTTAGAAGGTGGTCCAGGTGTAATATTTGTATATTACACAAGGGCAAACTTAACCAACAAACTACAGAAGTCCTTTTTAAATGTTCGTGAAGTTCACTTATACATTTTTGAGTTACTAAATCTGGAGTAATTTTCGTTGCAACACAAATTTTCCTATAATAAAACAAGTCTACCCTGATTTTTTTAAATGTGTATTTAATAAACAACAACTATATGAAATTCACAGCTAAAGGCTTAAAGTGTTTTTGTTTTTGTTTTTTTTTTTGAGTGAGAGAAAGTTATGGAGGGGCAGAAAGAGAGGGGGAGAGAGAATTCCAAGCAGGCTCCATGCTGTCCGCAAAGAGCCCGAAATGGGGCTTGATGTCACAAACCATGAAATCATGACCTGAGCCGAAATCAAGAGTCAGATGATCAACCGAATTAGCCACCCAGGCACCCCTAAAGTTTTAAAATATGATTCCACAAATTGTATTCATTGAGCTAGTAGCTGTTAAATCTGACCATGGAAGAATATTTAGGAATCAAGTATCTTATAAATATTTGGGAGACAATTTGCTCTGTTTATACCTATAATTATTTTTCAACTTAAATTTATATTCAACATGTAGGTAGAATATTCTAACAAAATCTAAGGTTCAATATTTTATTAAACTTGTGTAAAGAATGATGTCCAATTTAACCGTGCAAAGATTATTACTGCTATATCCCTCTCTTCCTCCCTTCTCTTCCCAAACTATTTATGGAAAGCCTTCTGTACAGAAGGTATCATGTTAGGATTATGCCTTATTATCCCTGGATCAAAGGGCCTAGCATGTACAAATACAATTAATGGATAAAGGGAGAAAAATGAAGACCTTAAGTAGTTTACACTTAAAATAGAAAAGAAAAAATCAGATTGTGGTAACTAAGATAAAATGATTATAAAAAGGGAAGAGATTACATCCAACTGGGAGGAAGTAACATGTGAGGTGGTCCTTGAAGGCTGCAAAGCATTTGATCAAACAGGTGGAATAGGATGAGCAAAGACTTGGTGGAAGACAATAGGGATATATTCAAGGAAGATTAAGTCCTTCTGTTGTGTGCATGAGTGGAAAATGCTTAGGAGGGAAAGAATTAAAGCAGATGGACCATAATCATTCTCCTGATCACTGGGGGATGCCCCCAAAGGAAAAAAAGACAGGTAATAAAGTCTATCTCCTTGTAAGTACGCTGCTAATTGTACTCCTGGTAAACAGACTAATATTTGCCAGTAAGAGTGTCCTTGTCTATGGAATGTTGTTAGCAGAATGTCCTTGGTTTAGGATTGCTATAGTAAACAAACCTACAATGTAGGAGTTTATGTGCGATGACTTCCTAGGAAATATCAGCTAAGACAGATAACCATCTGAGGGATAAATTTAAGATGTTTCATAACCTAAATGTTTCCTTCAACATGAGATGATATGCAAACCTCATTAGCCACATCATCTATTATTCTGGGTCAAAGAGCTTATGTCTGATATGGGAAAAAAAGATCTGGGGAATAATCTGAGATGTCCCAGCCCTCTCCCTGTTTCACATGTGCATCTTAATTGCTTGTATCCTTGACAATATTAATAAAGCTCTCTGGTTGGTATGAGCATGATTTGACAATTTGATTTTTTGTGTTAGCTCAAAAAGTAAATTTGGAAAAGGTTATATTAAATTTAAGGACAAAAAATGAAATATCATCTCTGAAGAAATAAAGCAAATGTCAAGACTTCAATTAGAGTCTCAATTCTTCCATTTAGTACCTATTCAACTTGTGGAGACCGTCCTTTTACCTCTGCTCACTGGCAAGATAAAGGGGCATGACTTGAAAATTGTTTTTGATTTACATCTGAGAATTTTATTTTGAAGTCAGCAAGAAGCAACTAAAGGAATCTCTGGCATGCTCAGAGATAAGTTTCTGGAAAAATAATTTAGCAGCTGTTATAATCCAATGCTAGTGAAGTAATGATGGAGGTGGGAAATCCAGGTCAAAGTCTGTAAGTGCCTCAAGAAGTAGTGAAGAAAAAAAATGAAAGAAGGGAATAACAGAAAGGTATAATCCGGGATTAAAAAGAATGCTTTCAGAAAAACTGTAATTAACCATTTATAAATATATGTATACATACATATATATAAAATATGGTTATGTAACATATACATATGTGTGTATGTGTGTATATGTGTGTGTGTGTATATATATATATACATAAAAAAATATATACATATATATATATATAATACAGACTTCTCAAAGAACCTGTTTCCAAAACTTGAATGTGAACAAGATCTGGAGCAGCAGTGCACAACATAAATATCAATTGGAAAAAGATCTATCAATTTAAACCTTGAATCCTTGACTTTACCTTTAAATGAAACACTGTTAATGTAATTTAGTAGGTTATAGAAGAAATGAGTAATCACCAACAATTACTATTCTTTCAGACTCATTTGCCAAGTACTAAAACATAAATGAAAACTATGATAGATAAGAGTTGTAAGTATGAGCTTATTGATTCTCTTCATTATAGCTTAATGGAAAAGTTAATTCCTCTAAGATCTCACACCTGTGCCATCACTGGAAGCCACATAAACATGATACTGCAATCATTATATAAATGACAATTCTCACAGTCATTAAAAATTCACTAATGATTCAAAAAAGTCATATTTTTAAAGATTCAAAGTGAAAGCTAAAAAAATTTTTGAACTATCAAAGATACACATACAATTTCATTATCTCCTAAAAGGAAAATAGATATTCTGAAATTGAATACTTGAACAGTTGTGAGTTTAGTAATTTAATCTGGTAATTTAATCTGACACTATTTTATACACTACATGCCATTAAATTAAAATGCTAGTAACTATGCAGAACTAATCTGGCATAGCTGTACATAATTGTAAAACAATTAGGAAATATCTTTGCAAAATAATGATATCAGTTTAACATATCATTTCAGGTAATTATTCAATGTTGACCAGATGCTGTAACTGGCAAAATAAAGATTGGTATTGTCTTTCTGGGAAGAATTTGGTAGTATAAACCAAAAGCCTTATAAACGTTAATACTCTGAGATTCAGAAAAGTAGACAAAAATAATATAGAAACATTTATCAAAGGATTATCAAATACAAATTTTAAAACAGTCTTATTGACCAATGTAAGAATGGTTCAATAAATTAAGATGATATTATTTAATATCGATGTGATGCAGTATTTTTTTTTAGTGTTTATTTTTGAGAGATACAGAGACAGAATGTGAGTGGGTTAGGGGCAGAGAGAGAGGGAGACACAGAATCTGAAGCAGGCTCCAGGCTCTGAGCTGTCAGCACAGAGCCTGACGCGGGGCTCGAACTCACAAGCTGTGAGATCATGACCTGGGCCGAAGTTGGACACTCAACCCATTGAGGCACCCAGGAGCTCCAATGTTATGCAGTATTAACGCCATTTAAAAAAAAGACTTCAGAGAAGACTTAAGGTCATAAGTACATGCGTATGTCATACTAGTATGTTTTTTAAAAGCAGAATAAGGTTCAAAATTACACATATAATAGGATTAACTACTATAAGATATGGAAAAATATAGGAAAGAAACATACCATATTAACAGTAACTATATCTGTGAGATGTGATAATAGATTTTTCATAAATTTCATTCCTTTGTATTCCCTATATTTCTACTACAACATGCAATTAGCTTATAGTCAAAAAGAAGAAAACTAAGTATTAAGTAACTCTGGAAAGGAAAAGAAAAAAATAACAGAAGAGCTCCATTATCTCTACCTCCAATAAAACCACACATCTTCTACAGTATGAAAGAATCAACACAACTCTGAAACTATCAAATTCATATCAGGAAGTTATTTTATTCACAAGTTGGTTTTGCTGCACTAATCAATAAAGTAAAACTGCTGTGGCCAATATGGCATAGAAATATGGCATATCATATTTTATATTTTTCCTTCCACTAAAGTTGGATAGAATTTTGAGCCTTATACATTGCCAATTTAAAAATGCATTAGGAGTGCCTGGGTGGCTTAGTCGGTTAAGCGTCCAACTTCAGCTCAGGTCATGATCTCACGGTTTGTGAGTTTGAGCTGAGTTTGAGCGCCCCAGACCCCCATCAAGCTTTGTGCTGACAGCTCAGAGCCTGGAGCCTGCTTCAGATTCTGTGTTTTACTCTTTTGCTCCTCCCCTGCTCTCTCTCTCTTAAAAACAAACATTTAAAAAATTTTTTAATTAAATAAAAATTATTAGAGTTACAATACAGACATCTATTCAGAAGGGTGCTATATCATTTTTTTCAACATTTGTCCTTTTATGGATTAGAATATAAGGTTGCTAGTAAATAAACTTGGCTAACTCAAAGATGAAAAAACTGCAAATTTCATTATAAGTTATTAAACTTACTCATTTCTTCAGTCATTTCCATTTTCATGTTCTCCTTCTGGAAGTTCTGCATTGTTTGTAACGTCTTTTGTGGATCCATCTTCTTGTTAACTGCTTGCATTGTCTTTAAATATATGAAAAGATTCGTGTTGGCTACATAATTGGAAAAATTTTACTATGAAATAAGTTCAAAGGAAACACATCAAATTAGATACAGGGTTTCTAAAAATATACATTCTGTCATCATCAAATATAAGAGTACAAAGTATTCTAGAAAAAAATGAAATATTTGGATACCATCTGCTTAACCATCTGCTTGTATAATAAAGACCAGGTGAAAAACTCATATGAACAGTAGGCAAAATAAATAAATAAATAAGTAAATAAATAAATAAATAAAGTAATTAAAAAACATTGTCAGCAACAACAAAAAATCCAATGCTATTCAAATGGAAAAACTACATTTGCTTATTATGTGCGAAGCAGTTAATGTCTAAATTGAAAATAATTGTAATTTAAATTTTACAAAATTTGTCACTTAGCTTTTGATGTCTAAATGAAAAAGGATACACAGCATGAATACTTAAACCGTTAACATATTTTAAATCACGGTTTGGAGAAATGAACAGAACGAGTTTTACAAAAAAATGTGAAAAGAATTCTTACATTTTATATCACAAGTTATTTCATTAAAAGAGATTAATGCTATCTAGTATGGGCAAATATTTTATACATATTATATAGAAAATTTACATATGTATTACACAGTTAGTTCAGTATTGAAAGATACTATACAATATAAAACACATCAGTTTCAAAGATACCAAGCAGTCTTTTCTCAATCTGTATGTAATGCTGCAGCCAAAGTAACTAGTAACACTGGATTTCCCCCATCCCCCTCCAGCGCATACCTCTCAAGTGGCTTTCCATTGCTCTCAGTAGTAAAAGCCAAATTCCAGAATTCCCTGAGACCAACCACCACCAAACTCTGCTGAACAAGCTAGTCTTATTTTGTACCGCTGCCGTCTAGCCACACTGATCTCACTTGTTATAAATGAAATTCTCCATTTATTGATGTAAATTATATTACTTGCAACTTAATACTAACAACGATGAGAATGATGATAAAGCAGTAAATGCCTATATAGCCTTAACTATGTGCCAGGCCCTGTACCTAAAGCATAATTATTTATATATAACATTTAAAGTTAAAAGACATTTAGACCTAACAAATGTTTATGTACTAGGCATCACCATTTTCCCTACACTATAAATGGAGAATGAAGGCACAGAAAGGCAAATTCACTTGCCACAAGTCCTAAAGCTACTGAATAGAAGTGAGATTTGAACTCAAGTAATCTGGTTCAAAATGTATGCTCCTAATCACTACACTGAACCACCTCTTCGAGTGAGCTGTTTTTGGAACAGACTGTCCATTTTAAGCCCCTGCCTGGTTTTGCTGTCTACTTCATCCCCATCATTTGTTATAGTACCTACTCGAGGGTCTAAACAAGTATTTGCGGAATTAAGACATTTCTAAGATAATTAAGTGAAAATTCCAGTTCAGCCATCTCTGCATGGCAGGACCATATTCAGTACCTTCTCCTAACCTACTACCTGTAAAAGAAAAAACTGCAAAGTAGATGGTTTTCCCCTTATTACTGAAAGGTGACCCAGCTCAACTGTGTGATCATCACATATGATCTTTTCCCAAATTAGATGTTTAGTCCTGTCCACTTGTGAAAACAAAAAAGGAAAACGAAAGTTTTTGCTCTTAACTGTGTATTTTTTACTGTAAAATGACAAAGATCCATCAAGAGTAAATTAACAGAACAAACTTACATTGAAATTTCCTCCATTTTTTTTAAGAACATAATGTGTCACTATACTTACTGCACCTGAGAAAGGCAAATTCTATATTCGTGTGCTCTGTAATCTAAAAAACAATTATAGTTGCTCCTCAATATTTCTGGATTCCATATGTGTGGATATGCCTACTCACTAAATTTATTTGTAACTGCAGACCAATACTCACAGTGCTTTTCTGTTCTCTGTGGACACACAGGGAACGGCAAAAAAATTGAGTTATCCAACATGATTGTTTCCAGCTGAGGTCAAACAAGGTGACCTCTGCTTTCTTGTCTCAACTCTCATACTGTACACAAGTGTCCTTATTGTGGTCTATTTAGTGCCACATTTTTGTAACTTTTGTTGATGACTTTGCCATTTAAAATGGCCCCAACCATAGTACTAAAGTGTTGTGTAGTGCTCCTAAGTGCAGGAAGCTATAATGTGTTTGTGGAAAAATACATATTAGCTCTGATTAGGCATGAATTCAATGTTAATGAATCAATAATACTTATTAAATATGGAGTCCTTCAACAGAAACACACATTAAACAATGTTAGTGTATAAGTTGGTTGACAAAAATGTTGTCACCAAAGGCTCACAGGAACCTAACCTTGTATTTCCCCTAGGAGCAATGATTCGATACTCACTAACTCAGTGTTCCCAACTACAGAACATTAACTACTTCAAGTAACAAGAATCCACTGTACATACCATTTTTCTAATATGAACTTCATACTTGCTCTTCCTCTGTGGCTTTCTTTTCTTTTGGTCTCCATATTCAAATACTTCTCCTTCCTTATATTTAACAACTAGTGATATTTTTCACACCTAGGTCTTCTAAAAGTCTTTCAGATCACTCAATTCAAAGATCTGAACAGTTCACTGAAATTTAGCACACACTGATGTATAGTGGATAGTTTCCCCGTTAGAAATAGTTTAACCTCCCTGCTCCTTACTCCCACCCCATCCTCAACTGAACAATAAAATCTGTGAGAGCAGCGCCTTTGTCTTAAAAGTCTTCTTATTCTTCACAGTACTTCATACACATCAAGGGGCTCTTTATTAAAAAATCAAAAAGCTCAAAGTCCTTTAAACTCCAGAGTGAAAACATTTATTTTTTTATACAAAGGGTGTAAGTTAAACATAATTTTCTGACAAAATTAACTGGTAAATCCTTCTGACAGAAATCACATGTCCTTCTGACATATACATGAAAATGGATCAAGAGGAAATTACTACTCAGAAGTAATCAAAACTTACAGCTTAATGAAATAACAAGACCAAAAATCTTCTGACAATTTAAGGGAAAAAGCAAATAATACTTTAAGTCAATTTAAAAAATTTAGAAGCTAAATGTGACCCTGGGACAATCAACATGTCCTAACAAAGAAATTTTATAGTAAAACAAATCAGTAAAGAATCTATGTACACCTGAATCTAATATAATATTGTATGTTAACTATATTTCAATGAAAAAAATCTAGAAGTATTTATTTGGATTATCTAGTCTTATAACTTCTTTTACTAAATATTACACAGATTCTGTACCCCATATACATCAGGAGGTACTTTTAAATCTGATTTGAATACTGACATTTAAATATCTTAGATAAAATTATAAATGTATGGATATAAAGGTCCCCACTTACTTTTGCTGTAGTAGACATTGCTCCTGCCATCTTCATCTGGGAATTCATCACTTTTGTTTGTGTGGACATAGAAGTGACTTTAGAACTTACAGCAAAAGTTCTTGTTTTCTGTTTCCGTAGATGAACAAGCTGTTTTGCTAAAACTCTGCAAGCTTCTTTATTACCAATCTTAGCCATTTTCTTAATTTCTAATTCCTAAGAAAGGAAATAAAAACAGGGGGAAAAATCATTGATAGGTCGTTCCCAATGATTTATTTCAGAAGAAAAATCAAACACACATCATATACCCTTTTCTCCCTGATCATGAAGACAGGAAGAGGCAGTCATAAGGTCAGAGAAAAAGAGTAATTGGAGAGGGCAATTTATTCCATATGTTTACATGGGAAAGACAGAACTAGTACCTTCATCCACAAACACAAAGCAAGTCTACAAAATAGTATTCACAAAAAGCCCCAGAAGAAAAGGAAAAAGCTCAACCCAAAAGTCAGTAGGATAAAGAAAAACAAAAAACAAAAAACAACAACGAGTTGGTGGGACAGAGAAAAAAGCACAAGGGTAGATTTAAGGCTAATTATATAGACAATTAAATTAAGTAAGAAGGTTCATCCAACACCTTAATAAAAGGCAAGTTGTCATTTTAGATAAGAATATAAACCCAAATATATGCTATATCAAGAAACCAAATTTAATTACAAAAAACAAAACTAAGTAAAAGGATAGGAAATATATTCTATAATTATTTATTAAATTCTGAAAATCTGGAATGGCTACATTAATATCAGATTTAAAAAAACTTGAGAAAGGAATATCATAGGAAATAAAAAGGGGCATTTCATAATGATAAAGATATATTTCATAATATAAAGATACTAAAACAATCCTATATGTGCATGCATCTAAGAACAGTGCTTCAACCTTGAAGCACAGGGGCGCCTGCGTGGCTTAGTCAGTTAAGTGTCCAACTTCAGCTCAGGTCATGATCTCACAGTTCAAGAGTGAGTTCAAGCCCCGCATCGGGCCCTGTGCTGACAGCTCAGAGCCTGGAGCTTGCTTCGGATTCTGTGTCTCCGTCTCTTTCTGCCTCCCCCCTGCTCACGCTCTCTCTCTCTCTCAAAAATAAATAAACATTAAAAAAAAATATGGGAAGCACAACTGAAAGAACTGAAAAGAGAAACAAATACACAATTAGTATGAGGAATATCAACAACTTCTCTCTTAAGTGCACGGCTATAATTGTTAGAACATGTGAAGAGAGACTATGTAATGCTATAGACTTACAAAAACACTATCACCAACTTGACCTAAACAACATTTTTATTTTTAAAATAACAACAGCAGAACATTCTTTTTACAAGTGTACACTAAAAAAGAAGAAAAATCACCAAAATATACCACATTTTGTATCAGAAAACAAGGCTCAATAAATTTACAAGGACTGAAATCATACAAAGTGTGTTCTCTAACCACATGAAATAAAACTGGAAATCTGGAAAACTGGAAGGAATATCATAAATAAGCAGAAATTAAACAACATGGTTCTAAATAAGTCATGGGTTGGAAAGATCTCAGGAGAATAAGATAATATTTTGAACTTGGAACAAAAAGGAAAATGCAACATATCAAAATGTGTGGGCTATAGTTAAAACAGTTCTTAGAGGGAACTTTATAGCATTAAAGCTTATGTTAGAAAAAAATGAATATCTCATAAGCTTCAAAATAGAGAAAGTAAAAAAAAAGTAAAACACTAAGTAAACAAGTAAAAATATAAACAATAAAAGAAATCTAGATAATAGGAAAGAAAAAACAATATAGAAAATTAATGAAATCAAAAGCCATTTTTTATAAGAGATTGACCTTTGGCATTGATAGACCATTAGCCAGATAGATGAGGGGAAAAAGTGATACAAAGAGAGCATAAAAATTACAAAGATGAGGAATGCAAAGGGGGGCATCACTTCATATCCTAAAGATGTTAAAGGATAATATGGGAACATTATGAATAACAGGTCATTACATTTTAACATTTAGTAAACATGGATCTTGACAGATGCTAACTACCAAAGCTCATTTAAAAAGACAGATTATTGGGGGACCTGGGTGGCTCAGTCGGTTGAGCGTCCGACTTCGGCTCAGGTCATGATCTCACAGTTTGTGAGTTCGAGCCCCACGTCGGCCTCTGTGCTGACAGCTAGGAGCCTGGAGCCTGCTTCAGATTCTGTGTCTCCTCTCTCTGCCCCTCTCCCACTTGTGCCCTGTCTCTCTCTATCTCTCAAAAATAAATAAATGTAAAAAAAAAAATTAAAATAAAATAAAATAAAAAGATTATCTGATGATCCATTCTGTAGCTGTTTTTTCTAAAAACTGAACTGGTAGTTTAAGAACCTATCCACAAAGACAGCTTTACTGATGAATCTTCTCAAATATTTAAGGAAGAAATACACATTCTTCCAGTAAAGAAATGAGAAACCAACTCATGCTTTAAAGTCAGCATCACTCAGATGTCAAAACCAAATAAAGACTCTGCATGAAAAGATAACTACAAATCAGTATCTTTCACAAACACAGATACAAATATTCTTTACTTTTTCTTTGTGAGAGACAGAGGGATAACACATACAGGAGGGGCAGAAGAGGGGTAGGAGAGAGAGAATCTCAAGCACGTTCCATATGCAACACAGGTTTGATCCAACAACCATGATATCACGACCTGAGTCAAAATGAAGAGTTGGACACTTAACTGACTGAGTCACCCAGCACCCCTAGATGCAAATACAGTAAAACCTTGGACTGCGAGTGTTCTGCAAGACAAGCAAACATTTCTAATAATTTTTAACTTGATAAACAAGCGATGTCTTGCAATATGAGTAGTGTGTGATGATGAACGTCACATGATCACAACTGAGCCAATGGTTCTTCTCTCTCTCTCTCTCTCCATATCACTGTGGAATTGTGAGTGATCGTCTCCCATGCTCAGATGCTCGATCTTAGACTGAGATGTTTGGCAGAAATTGGTGATTTTTCAGAATGTTGGAAGGTGCCCACAACTGGCACTAGTGTATTTTTTGTCACTTCAAAGCACCAATGGATGGTTTTTTGCTTTTCCAAACAAGAGTAAGCTTAGGAATGTTCTGCTTCATTCCAGGTCAGGCTGCCTTCATATAGAGACCCTTTCCCCTGCTGCCTTATTGTCAGTTACATTAAATACAGTATATGACAAAAGTTTATAAATACTGTACTGTAGTCAACATCTGTGTGAGTGTACCCCCACACAGGAAAAGGTTGAAAAAAAGGCGGTAAGATGAAGGAGATGATTATGGTGAAAGTTAAGGAAATTATCGAGAAGTACAAACAAGGTATGCAAGTGGCTGAAACTGCAAGATTTTATAAGAAGTCTATGTCTGCATCTTGTCTGCAGTGAAGGAGGAGGAAAAGGCAGAGGAATCCCTCACTTCAAATGAGATTAGGGAGATGTGTAAAATGTGAGATATAGCGCAAAATTCTGTAGAAAAGCACACCCAAATAAGGCTGTGGCAGTGCAAACAACAAATCTGTTTAACAACAGTGCAATGTCACACTTAACGTGAAATCCTCAAAAGGAAGCAAAAGCAAGTATCATTGGATAGGTTCTCTGTAAAGCTGCATGAAAAGAAAAAGATTCCATTGAGCCAATAGATAGTATTGATTGTTAGTGACAATGAAAGTTGTCCTACACAATAACCCTCCTCTCTCTGGTCTCTCACATACCAGCCACAAAGGTTTTCAAAGGTAAGTGCAGGCTAATTTGCTTATTTTCCTTTATATTTTGTATTTTCCTTATTATTTTGTATTGTATTACAATATTGTAATCATTTTTATATTAATATTTTGGGGTTGTGGAACGAATCATGTGAGTTTCCATTATTTCTTATGGGGCAATTTGCTTTGATATACAAGTGCTTTGGATTACAAGCATTTGGATTACAAGCATTTCTGGAATGAACTGTGCTCGCAAACCAAGGTTTTACTGTATTCTTAACAAATTTCAGCTTACTGAAAATAGTATCTCAAAAAAACACGTCATTACCAATGTAACTTATCCCAGGAGCAAAAGCCTGATTTTAACTTTAATAAATCAATAAATGCAATTCACTAGGTTAACAGACTAAAGAAGAAAAACTGCATGACCATCAGCTCAAAAGATGCAGAAGTGAACCTCCATGTTCACCTGATAACACAGTGAAACTTAATTCAATATGGTTCAGTGTCCTAAATGTAACAACTAAAACTATAATTCTTCTAGGAGAAAACAGAAGGGAAAATATTAGCGACTTTGGGTTAGAGAAAGATTTCTTAGGACACTAAAAGTACTAGTCATAGAAGAAGAAATTTCACTTGATTAAAATAAAAATCTTCTGTTCCACAAAAGACACTATTCGGAAAATAAAAGAGGCAAGGCCAATAACTGGAGAAGATATTTACCAAATACATATTTAATAAAGTACTTATATTTGAAATATATAAAAAGCTCTTACAAATAAACAAAAGGAAACAACATGATGAAAAAAATGGGTAAAATATTTCAATAGACACTTTTGGCAAAAAGATATGTAAATGGCAAACAGGCACATGAAAAGATGCTGAACGTCATTAGCAATAAGTGAAATGCAATTTAAAATGACCATCTACTATACACCACTAGAATGACTAATATGTAAAGACTGTTGACTCCAACTATTAGCCAGGTTGTGGAACAACTTTACTTTCATATCTAGCTGGTGGGAACAGAAAACATTACAGCTGATTTGAAAAATTGTCTAGTAGTTTCTTACACAGTTAAACATACATTTACCCCATAATCTAGCAATCCCAATCCTAGAGATATATCCAAGAGAAACGAAAATATATGTTCACACAAAGACTCCAATTGTATCTTAATAGCAACTTCATTCAAAATAGCCCAAACCTGGAAATAACCCAAATATCCACTGGCTGTTGAACAGATAAATAAACATGAAAACACCCATACAATAAAGTAATATTCATCAATTAAAAAATTAATACTGATTATATAACATTGATTAATCTCAAAATAATTATGACTGAAGGAAACCACATTAAAAAAAAGTATTCATAGGGGCGCCTGGGTGACTCAGTTGGTTAAGCATCCAACTTCGGCTCAGGTCATGATCTCACGGTTTGTGGGTCTGAGCCCTGCCATCGGGCTCTGTGCTGCCAGCTCAGGGCGTGGAGCCTGCTTCAGATTCTGTCTCCCTTTCTTTCTGCCCCTCCCCCACTGTACTCTGTATGTCTCTCAAAGGTGAATAAATGTTAAAAAAAAAAAAATTAAAGTATTCATATTATATGATTTCATTTATATAAAGTCTAGAAAATGTAAACTAACCTACAGTGACAGATCAGTATTTACTGCAAAGGAGGGTGTCAGGGAGGGATGGATAGGTAAAAGTAATTGCGAAGGGAATAAGGAAACTTTTCCGGATGGTGGGGATGTTCATTATTATCTTGATTGTAGTAAAGGTTTCAGCATATATATATATATATATATATATATATATATATATATGCTGAAATGTATCAAATTATATGCTTTAAATAATGGAGTTTACTGCATGTCAATAATACGTCAATCATGCTGTTTGTTTAAAAGATTTAAAGCAACATATAAAAACATAACATAAAAATATTTAAAGACAAGCAAGACAGTCTATTTAAAAAAAAGGACATTCATTATCACAGACATAATGATCACTAAAACATCAAGTAAGATATCTGTGAGTTAACATAATTATTTCCTGTAACTTTTTGTTATTCAGGACCATTTAATCTTTGTTGTTAACTGACAATAAAGTAGCTGTGTTTTGAGAAATATTTCCTCCTGGGCATTCATGACTTCTACAAACTGAAGAATAATTTGATTTTATAATCAGCAGAATACACAGAATCCTGATAAAAGTCAGCAGAATGACACAATAAACGAAGGTAAGCAGAAAATTCAGGAAGACATAAAATGCCATTTCTTAGTAAATCACTTACCACCTGCCATGTGTCTTTTTCTTAGTTAGCTAATTATTCTAACACTAATTTCCAAATTTGTTTGAAAAGTTAAGCTGAAATTTAATGTTCTACTTACCAGCTGTTTTTCTTGTTTCTCTAAAGCTGCTCGATCTCTGATTATAGCCCTCTGCGTACCTCGTAATTCTCGATTCTGTTCCTTTATTACATCTAAGAGAATCACAAAAAAAACTTAAATGTAATTTTCTTCAATACCATTTAAAATATCAGACTTGGAGACTTTATTAAAAAAAAAGAAACCATGTTTTACTAGATGTTAATTTTTTTAATTCAATATAGTACATATATATAAAGTCAAATATATTAAAACTTGGACCATAAATATTAATTAAAGAACTACAAAAGATAACTGCAGATATGCTATAGTATCCAAAAGTGTATATACATCACAATAAAAGATTCCCTTAGAGAACTGATACTATGCAATGTTTTATATAGCACATAAATATGTCACAAACACATTCTTCATCTCTTCTTACCCCAGTATTATATGAAATTCCAGGCAGGAAGACAGGTCACTAAGTCATCATATCATCACAACAGAGTGAAATAGTAGACCTTCCAATGAGGCAGACCTGGATTTGAATCCTCCCTCTGCCACCTGATCATTATATGATGATATCTTGGGAAAGTTAGTTAATATTCTAAACCTCAGGTTGCTTATTCATAAAATAAGGATAATTGTTAAGGAGTAAATAACACACAATGTCCTGATACACTATTAAAGTTCCACTCAATCTTGAAGTTTTTCTAATTTATTCATTTGGACCCATCAGGTCCCATCTTTTGAAGAATTAAAGTGCTAGTCTAGGTCCAAGGGACTATAATTTGGGTTAGCTGTTACTAAATAGTAATTTCTTAAAAAATCACAGATATTGATGGTAATTCTTGCCAAAACTGATCTTTCATTACCAGGAACCTTGCGAAGTGTTGTACATATATTATGCAATATAATATCGACAATAATGCTATGGAGTTGATTTTTCTATTATTTTAAATTTTTTTTTAACATTTATTCATTTTTGAGAGACAGAGTGTGAGTGGGGGAGGGGCAGACAGAGGCGAGAGAGGGAGACACAGCATCCAAAGCAGGCTCCAGGCTCCAAGCTGTTAGCACACAGCCCGAGGCGGGGCTCGAACTCATGAACCCAAGAGATCATGACCTGAGCAGAAGTCACGCGGGCTCTTAAATGACTGAGCCGCCTAGGGGCCCCTTATTTTACATTTAAAGAAAACTGAGAGTTGGGAAGTTTCAATAACTTGCCCAAGGTCACAAGATAGTATGCAGTAATGCCAGATTTGGATCCAAGTGTTGTCTCCTGAATCAGTAATCTTAATCACTTCACTAGAGTACCTTTCTAGTCAAGAAGTAGATTTAAAAACAATGGTAACAGAAAGAATAGTCTCTTTATCAAATGGCATTGGGACAATAGGATGTCTACATGAAAAAGAATGAAATTGGGCCCCTACCTCACAATGTATATGAAAATTAACTAAAAAAAGATTAATGACCCAAATGTAAGAACTGAAATTACATAATTCTTAGAAGAATACATAGGAGTAAATCTGCATGATCTAGGACTTAGCAATAGATTCTTAGATATGACACTAAAAGCATGAACAACAAAAGAAAAAAAAAGATAAATTGGACTTTGTTAAAATTAAAGGCTGTGCACCAAAGGAAAGACATCCCACAGAAAAGGAAAAAATATATACAAACTATATATACATATATATATACACACATACACACAACTTATTAATATATAGAGAGTCTAGTATTCAGAATATATAAATAACTCTTAAAATACCAAAACAAGACTACACACACACGCACACACATATATGTCAAGAGTCTAGTATCCAGAATATAAAAATAACTCTTAAAACTCAAAAACAAGACAATCAAATTAAAAATGGTTGAAGGACCTGAATAGACACTTATACAAAGGAGATACAGAAATGGACAATAAACACAAAAAGAAGATGCTCAACATCATTAGTCATAAGGGAAATGAGAGACATTTCACATCCACCAGAATGGCTATAATCAAAAACAAAAAAGGAAAATAACAAGTGTTATGAGAATGTGAAGACTGGTACCCTTATATATTGGTGGTAAGAATGTAAACTGTTTCAGCCACTGTGGATAAAAATTTGGTGGTTCCTTAACAAGTTAAACATAAAATTACCATATGATCTTACCAACTCCACTTCTAGGTATGAGAGCTGGAGTATAATAAGAAATGAAGTCCTGATACATACTACAACATGAATAAACCATTAATATATTATACTAAGTGAAAGATGCCAGATACAAATGGTAACACTTTATGATTATACTCAGATGAGATATCAGAATAGATTGATCATAGGGGCGCTTGGGTGGCTCAGTCGGTTAAGTGTCCGACTTCGGTTCAGGTCATGATCTCACAGCTCCTGGGTTCAAGCCCCGTGTCGGGTTCTGTGCTGTCAGCTCAGAGCCTGGAGCCTGCTTTGGATTCCGTGTCTCCCTCTCTCTCTGCCCCTCCCCTGCTCATGCTCTGTCTCTGTGCCTCAAAAATGAATAAACATTAAAAAAAAATTAAAAAAAAAAAGAAAAAATAGACAAATCACAAAGACAGAAAGCAGACTGGTATTTGCCAGGGGTTGGGGAGAGAGAATGCGGAGTCACTGCTTATCATGTACAGGATTTTGGTGTGAGGTGATGAAATGTTTTAGAACTAGAGATGGTGGTTACACCCCATCGTGAAAGTACTAATGCCACTGAACTGCTGTTCACTTTACAATGGTTAACGTTATGTGAATTTCACCTCAAATAAAACGACAGAGCCAACACTCGTTATCCTTTTACTGATGGAACACCAACCTTATACATTTCTGTGTATAATGTATAACTTTACTCATAATAAAAATAACCATGGTCACCTGGGTGGCTCAGTTGGTTAAGTGCCCGCTCTTGATCTCAGCTCAGGTCATTATCTCATGGTTGGTGAGCGGAGTCTCACATCAGGCTCCGCGCTGATAGCATGCAGCTTGCTTGAGATTCTCTCTCCCTGTCTCTCTGCCCCTCTGCCCCTAATAGTTGAATAGGTTTCTTTGCTCCAAGGCCTCTAAGACTATTTAGTATATGAATATGCAGTCAATTCTTAAGTGGAGAACATATTATAGATTATTTCCTACATTTGTTAAGTCAAGAATTCCTTTTAAGAATCTCTATTAACATTTCCTAGATGTTAATGTTCCATGGAGCACTGGTTGGGATTCTGTTCTAAAATAACACAATTTATTAGTTTCCTACGGCTGCTATAACAAATACCACAGACTGGGTAGCTTAAAAAACAGAAAACTAAGTTTCTCACAGTTCTGGAAGCTGAAAGTCCAAGGTCAAGGTATTGGCAGGTATGATTTTTCCTGAGGTCTCTCTCTTTAGCCTGCAGATGTCTGCCTTCTTTGCTGTGTTCTCATATGGCCTTTTCTGTGTGTGTGCCCATCCCTGGTACCTCTTTCTCTTCTAATAAGGTCACCCTCGCCCTGAATTAGGGTCACATCTTCATAACCTTTTAACCTCAATTACCTCTTTACAACCCTATCTCCAAATACAGTCACATTAGGGGTTAGGACTTAGCACGAATTTTGCAGGGGTGCCTGGGTGGCTCAGTCAGTTAAGCATCCAACTCTTGATTTCAGCTCAGGTCATGATCTCATGGTTCATGGGATCAAGCCCAAGTCCATGCTGTGCTGCTTGAAGCCTGCTTAGAATTCTCTCTCTCCTTCTTTCTCTGCCCCTCCCCTACTTGCACTTTTTCTCTCTCCCCACCCTTCCCCAGCTTACTAGCTCACATGTGTTCTCTCTCTCCCTCTCAAAATGAATAAACTTAAAAACAAAAAACAAAAAACATGAATTTTGTGGGCATACAATTCAGTCCACAGCACACAATCTTTCCTCTGACAGGTGCAGACAGACACTAAGTGGCAAAGCTCTTATTTCCCTATCTTTAAAAGCGATCACGAGCCTTTTCATCCTCAACACTCAAAGACTCCTAATTTTCTTCTTTTGAACTTGGCACCCTATCTTGCCAAAGCCAACGAATTGGTATAAAAACATTCACCACTTACCCTACTGTTTCAACAGAAAATATGTTCTAAATTTAAAACTATGAAATTACAAATAAACTTTTGGAGTATAACATCTTTGTGTACTGAAAAGTCCCTAAACTCAACTAATATAAAATGAAATGGTAATACTGAGATAGTGATGAAAGTCTTCTAAAGCCACAAGAGTACAGAGATGAAAGAGAAGCCACCATATTGACAAATTAAATTGTGTCCAGATAACTGACACAGATGCAAAGCAACTGCTGAAAGCCTTGATGGAGAAGATCTAGAATTCTATCGATATATACTTTTTCATTATTAGGGTGATGTAATAAAAAGCATATATTTGATCTTTGTCTGGAGTTCCTGGCACAGAGCTCCTAAAACCCTCAGTGAGCTTCCTTAGTGATAGCAATATCTTTTAACTCAAGAAAGGGGACCCCTAGATAGCTCCTGGAGGGGACTGGTTACCAGAAAGACCAAATACTTGATTAGAGAATGGGAAGTTCAGCCCCAGCCCTCTGACCTCAGGAGAAGGGAGTGGGGCTGAAGACTAGGTTATAAAAAACTCTTGAACAAAGAGATTAGGAGAGCTGCTGGGTTGGTGAACACACTGATACGCTGGGAGGGCAGCATGCCCCAAAAAAGGGCAGGGAAGATCTTGTGCCACTTACAGTCCCCAAAACTTTGCTTCCATTTGGCTGTTCCTAGGTAAAGCACTTTTCTGAGTTCTACGACTTGTTCTAGCAAATTATCACACTGTGGAAAGAGTTATGAGGACTCTAGAATTGGTAGCTGGTTAGTCAGACGTATTGGTGGCAACCCGGGACTTGTGACTGGCATCTAAAATGAGGACAGTCTTGTAGGACTGAGCCTTGAACCAGTGGGCTCTGTGCTAACTCCAGCGAGTGTTAAGACTGATCAACTTTTTGGAGACACCCCATTGGTATCAGAGAACCATAGAGTAGAAAATAGATATAGCTATCTCTGTTGGCAAAACACATTATTATGACAGGAAATTTTACCAAAACATATAACTTAATCAAAACAGT